GGACAAGCCGGGGGGGGGGGGGGGGGTGGAGGGCACATGACACAAGAAGAAAAGGTGCAAGGAGAGGGTGAGATATTACCATTTGCGCAGAGCTGATCATCCCGCCCTTGACCACCAAGCTCGGCTTCGTCCCAAACATGCTCGGCTTCCACAACACTAGGTCGGCCACCTTGCCCACCTCGACGCTGCCCACCAAGTGACTCATTCCCTGCGCAATAGCCGGGTTGATCGTATACTTGCTCAGGTACCGCTTGACGCGGAAGTTGTCGGCGTCGGTGCCTTCATCTTCTTTTAGGGTTCCGCGCTGCTGCTTGTTCTTGTGCGCCGTGTTCCACGTGCGGAGAATGACTTCGCCGCAACGCCCCATGGCCTGCGAGTCCGAGGACATCATGGAGATGGCGCCGAGGTCGTGGAGCACGTCTTCGGCCGCGATGGTCTCGGCGCGGATCCGCGACTCGGCGAACGCAATGTCCTCCGGGATGTTCTTGGAGAGGTGGTGACACACCATCAGCATGTCGACGTGCTCGTCCAGCGTGTTCCTCGTGAACGGTCTCGTGGGGTTCGTCGATGAGGGGAGCACATTGGCGTGTTCGACCACAGAGATGATGTCGGGCGCGTGTCCGCCGCCGGCGCCCTCGGTGTGGTAGGTGTGGATGGTGCGGCCCTTGAAGGCGGCCACCGAGGACTCCACAAAGCCAGACTCGTTGAGCGTGTCGGTGTGGATGAGGCATTGGACGTCGTATTCGTCGCACACAGACAGGCACGTGTCGATCGCCGCGGGCGTCGTGCCCCAGTCTTCGTGTAGTTTGAGGCCGCACGCCCCAGCCTCGCATTGCTCGCGAAGAGCGACCGGCGAGCTGTCATTCCCTTTACCCGTGATGCCGTAATTGATGGGGAGCGAGTCGATCGCTTGAAGCATCTGTTTCATGTGCCATTTCCCAGGCGTGCAAGTTGTCGCGTTGGTCCCTGTACTGGGACCGGTGCCACCTCCGAGATAAGTGGTGATGCCGGCCGCGACAGATTCGTAGGCTTGTTGAGGACAGATCAGGTGAATATGCGAGTCGATACCTCCTGCGGTAAGGATGCTATGCTCTCCTGCAATGACATCGGTACCGTTGCCGACGATCATATTGGGATGGACACCGTCCATGACGTCCGGATTGCCCGCTTTGCCAATGCCCACGATGATGCCGTCCTTGATTCCCACGTCGGCCTTGTAGATGCCGGACCAGTCGACAATCAGCGCATTGGTGACGACCGTGTCAAGCACATCGGCATCTTTCCGGTCTGATGCTTGTCCCATGCCTTCTCGAAGAGTTTTGCCGCCACCAAACTTGCACTCCTCGCCGTAGACCGTCAAATCCTTTTCGACCTTGATCCACAGGTCGGTCATTCCCAGCCGGACGCGATCACCAGTCGTGGGACCGAACATGCCCGCATAGGCCGCGCGGGTCATGGATGCGACGTCGATATGCGCCAGGTCACCGGCTGGTTCAGGCGCGTGGGCGAACCCAGCTTGCTGTAGTTTCTGCACGATTTCGTCGGCGCGAGATACATCGACAGGACCCGAAGCGAGGTTGTTTCCACCGTGTATCACCTTGTTGCCTGCAATCTCGACCAGAGTGACTGTCTTTGTGTCTCCGGGCTCAAAACGGACCGATGTACCTGCAGGGATGTCTAGACGGAAACCATATGCTCTGCCTCTGTCAAACTCGAGTTGCGGATTCGTTTCGATAAAGTGGTAATGGGAGCCAATCTGTAAGAGCGGCACATGTCAGTCGGCCTTGGAGATCGATCGCCTTGCCGAAACTCCAGAGGTTGTCGATACCTACCTGTATTGGCCTGTCCCCCTTGCTCGCGACCTTCAGCTGAATCCTCTTCCGACCCTCGTTCAACGTAATTTTGCCTTCTTTGACCGGAACGACTGCACCCGGCATTTTCGTATTGTCATACTCACTCTCGTCTGGCAGGGGGAATGCGTCCTTGGACGGCACAGGAAGGAAGCTTCCGTACAGCGCCTTTTCAAGGTCTCCATCGTCGGAACTGATTGGATGGTGGACCGTGACCAGGTACGTGCCGGTCTTGAAGGTCCCCTCGACCTGCAATTCGGTCAAGGTGGACAGAACAGAGGGAAGCACATGTCGTCGACCGAGGATGGTCTTCCCAATGGACATTAGGTCGGCGACCGTGTGGTTTCCATCGCGAATGAGCTAAGAAACAACCTCACTCATTAGGACAAATATGCTCGCGGTTCGCACCACCTTTGTTGGGAGAAATACCTCTTGCAAGTTGCTGGCAATCAAAGCCTAGAGGAAGAGATCAGCTTTCCCAGAATCCCAAGGCCCCGTGTGTTTCAGAGGAGAACCACCCACGCAAGCCTCTGAATGATTCAGCCTGACACCTCTAGCAAGTCTCCGTTGGGCCAGGAAGCCAAGCTGGGATATCACGAGCTTATCTAACTGTTTCCAGGTGTCGAACAAGTCAGTCAACAAAGGTCTTCTAGGTGAACAAAAACTGGACCTCAAAACATACGTACCTCTTTCGCAACGAGCTGCATATTGAAAACTGCCCGCAGAAAAGGCACTCGCAAGCCTGGAACTTGCAGCTTTTGAAGATTTTCATCCTTCAATCCATCGAGGATGCGGTGCCTTATCTATGCCAGTCTGACCTATCATGGTCGAGGGGCTATTGCGGGGCAAAGGAAGCTTCGGAGTGGTATGAGGACAGGTCTGGATAAGCAATGGAACCACCCCAGTTCATGCCCTAGGAGGCTTTCGAGTGGTTCTTTTGAAGGAGTCACCGGAGTGGCCAGCCTCGATGGTGGCAAGCTTTGTAACCACCAGTGCGTGGGGTCTAGATGCGGAGAAGAGATCAAGACAGGAACTTTGTTTTGGTGCTGGTGCGTCATTAGTAGTTGTGGTGGTTGAGAAAAGGACTTGACAGAGACAGAACAAAAACATTTCAACATTGACCTCGTTGAACAGACTAGTTACTCGGCCCTTTGCATGGCGCTCATCACCAATTTCTGCACTGCGCCGAACAGTGACCGCCTTTCATTATGAACACATTCCTTCACAGGAGAAACAACCTCATACAACCTCATGGAAGCGAGAGTCGAGTTCTTGAATTCCAAAATTCCCCAGACCGAAAATCGAAACCGGTAACGAATGATCATGTCCACGCGCGCCCACATACACACCCGTTATTCCCCACCAGAGTCGTTGGAGTGCATTCATTTCTTAGACTTTTTGGACTTCTCGACCTTGGTTGATGCAACAGGAGCAGCTTCCCTCCTGCTCTTCTTAGACTTCCTGTCCTTCTCTGGAGATTTGGCCTCGGCCTTAGGAGTTGCTTTGCTGGGAGTAGGTTCGACATCTTTGGTCTTGCGTCTCTTGGATTTGGGAGGTGTGGGTTCTGGGGCCGGCGCCTCTTCCTCCTCTTCTTCCTCGACGGGCTCTTCTTCCGTCTCTGCCTCAGCATCGAGACCGGCAACATGCTCAGGAGCTTTACCCATTTCCACCAGGCGCGCTGCAGTCTCGTCGTCAGGAACTGGCTGACCGGCTTTGTAAGCTGCCATCTTGACGCGGTACGCGGCCAGGTTCTTCTGGTACTTGTCGTCCCAAATCTATGTGGAGGTTAGTCGGTGAGAGCAACAAATGAATGCAAAGGCCGTACACTCTTCTCAGCAGGGCTCATCTCGGTCCATCTGCGAGTTCCCTCGTCGGCAACCTCTTTCGGCTTCGCTGAGTCGCCCAATTCCTTGGCAATAGTGGCACGAGCACTTTGCATGTAGAGAAAATACGGCGTGAGGGCACGCTTCGGTGCGTTAGGATCATGCGGTGTCCTCTTGCGCTTCTTCTTCCCATCGACATCTGGTTCTGGTGCAGCAGCTGGGGCAGCATCGGCGGGTCTAGCGCTCAAGAGACCAGACTCGGTAAGGATACTGGTTAGGTTGGCGTCAATAGGGTTAAGGCCATGTTTGCCAGGTGTGAGGACGGTGTTGGCATGTTGGATGTATGCGCGCGAGAGGTCTTGGACAGAGGATTGAAGTGTTGCAAGAGCAACAATGACCTGAGAGGATGTGTGAGCAAATGCCACTGATTCATTTTGAACTTCGCGAACAAGCTCGCCGAGAGCCGCCAAATCTTCGGTGAGGACCTCGACGCATTTGATGGCGGCACGGTTCAATAGATGCCCGAACTCAATGCGCGCGACGCTGGGGGTGACATGAAGTGTGGATGAAGACATGGGGAAAGGCTCCGAATCATAGGGTCAAAGGAGAGGTGTGCTACATAAGCTGAAAGTGTATGCGAGACAGTGAGGTGACATGCACAAGGGGAGTGACGGTGAGGTCAATGTTGTGGTTCAGTACGAGCTGGGGTAGAGCCTCGTCGCGGGGTTGAGGGTTTGTACGGCTCGGTTGGACGCGTGTTGTGTGTGGTGAGGCAGATGGACAGCAAGAATAATAGACACAAAAAAATTGGTTCACTCACCGAATCTCGAGTTCGCTGGAAGTCAGCAATATTGACCTGCGTCGTTGCAGACTCGGGGTCGTGTGTCTTCTTTGCCATGGTGTCTTTGTAGGCGGATCAACTTGGAGTTATGCTAAGGGTATGGACACTCGACAATATAGGCGCCTATAAGCGACAGCAATGGGAGGTGGCAAGGCTGAGCTTTAACTAAAGGATGGGCGGCGGAAGTGAAGCCAGAAAGCAAGGGCTTGTCTGGGTGGAAAGCGAGAGGTTGGAAGATGCAGAAAGGAAAGGAAACGGGGGCGAGGGCGAGGGCAGCGGGGGGGCGGCCTGTTTAAGTGGGCGAGCGAGGCGCATGGGCAGCCGCTGGATCAACCCAGCGAGAGTGAAAAAAAACCCAAGCAGCTGCGGGAGGATTGATCACGGCCACCTGGCAGCTCCCCTCTTTTTTTTTTTTAACACCCCCCGTAGCCCCCTCCCATCTGCTCGGCCTCTAAGGATGCCGGGATGCTCTCTGTAGGTGCTTGTTTCGGTGTCCTGCAAGCTCCACTGTCGCGCCGCTAATGGTGCCTTCCTCAGGTCTAATTGGCTCCTAAGACGCCCTGCCTCGCTGAGGCTGCTGCACTCTCCCGGCTCTAAGCTTGTAGGCTTCAGTACTATTCGCCCTCCAGGGCAGGAGTCACCTTTCCTTGCTGCAACACATGGGCTTGTTTACCCCCCCAACCCTGCTTCTCCTGCAGGCTAAAACAGCCTAGCTTGGGCTCACCCGCTGAAGTTGTCCTCCTTCACTGCCGAACGGAGGCATCGCTGTCTGTGGGTGATGCTGGTTATGCAGGTGAAGACGATTCTCCTCCGAAACGACTCGCTGATACGGGGAGACTCTCCAAAGCGGTTCCCATTCCCCAAGTTCTCAAGCTGCAGGCGCATCGCCATGCCTCCAATCCGCACATTTCGGTGCCGGCCTGACAGATACAAATAAATCGTGTGCTTATGCTTGTCGCGTCACCCACAGCCTTTTTGGAAGGGAAACTCTGCGTGGACAGAGGTGCCCAGAGCACATACCCTCCTGTTGCCTAGAAAGAGACTGCGCGGCTTGAGCGGAGAAACCCATAGTGGATGGGAAGATCAGCACTGCTGTTAAGAGGACAGTGACGGGCGTCAGCGGCAAGACAACGGGTGCTCTAGGAGGCAACACCGAGCAAGCTTGAAGGTCGGCATCAGCAGCTCTGGAAATGCAGCTGGAAAGAGAGGTGAAGCTGGGAAGCTCCGGGAAGTGTGGAAGAGGGCAGCACAGTAGCTGCTAGTCAGACCACCCTACCACCCTGCATGGCTCTGGTGGCCCTGGACTCGCAAATTTCGATCATCAGCGCCCCATCAAGCTGCATAAGCGCTTCTGGGCGGTCACCTAATGTTGAAATTGAGAGCCTGTCTGACGGGCTTGGTTCAACCTGAAAGTGCCCGACCTACAGCCTAGTTAGACTCTTAGCCAGGTAATTTCAGGTGGCGGGGAGCAATGGTGACAGTCAGTCACCAAGATTGTTGCCTCAAACCCCCAAGAGTCCCCGTCCGTCCCGACAAATCAGCGCCTGACAGCGTCAGTGTTGGCTGTCCCTTTTGGGCGTCTCAGGCACAACAACTCGGCTCATCGACCCGCCCAAGCCGGATCAATGTCCTTCAATGTCCACTACTATTGCTTGGGGGCTTTTTGTACGAGAGAAGCCCCTGTCATGCCTGTTGTTTCGTAGCTCCTCTGCTGCTTCTACAGGCGCTCCGGTCCTTCTACTTTGGGCCTGCCCAAAGTCCCCGGTGGTGGTACTCTCCGATCTCGATTCGACCTTGCTCGTCAGTTGACGAGGGCCTTTCTTTTACTGCTCTCCTTCAAAAGCCCGTTTCACTTCACTGCTACCCACATGTTGAGGAGCTCCTGCTCTGGGCATCGACAAAGGTCATTGTAGGCATGCCCCTAGTGTCCACTGTGCTCGTGCTGACACCGACAACGAGCACGCCCAGCTCGAAGCCCTATCCTCTAAAGCCCACCCTGAGACTTATCCAGTTTCGAGGCGCTATGGCGCTTGTTCACACACCCACGCTTCTTGGGGCGCCGAAAGAGCTCCCCAGAGCTCTCTCCCGCTTTGAGCGTGGCCATCTTGGGACGAGTTTCTACTGTATTGTAGCCCTGACGCCAGACAGTTCTTTTACTCTGGAGGTCATTCCAAATCAACTCTTGAGGCCTGTTTGAACGGGATACTCATACTCGGTACAGCTCCTCCCCCCCCGGGTCTAACCACCCTCAGTCCTAGGTGCCACGTCAAGTCCACCAAAAAGCACTTCAAGAGCTTCAACTCTGCAACATTCAATATCTCAACCACCATCTCTTGTGTATAACCACCAAATGTCAACAATGTCGACTTGTAATACCAATACCGAAATCTCACCTACTTACTGACTAACTTGCAAGATCCGTGCAGATTTATTCTTCGGTCATTGGAGAGTATTCCTCACTGACACTGGTGTTATTGTTCTATTTCACAGAATCACCCTTTGATATAGGCACCCGGGCACGATAGGGTAAGACCACAGACCACAATTGTCGTGGTGGTAATAGCAGTGGCCAGGGTTATTTGCCCAAACTCCGCTGCGCTGTCGGCATCATTGGCGGATTCGAGGTCATCAAACGATTGGGTCATGCGAGGCTACAATTTCTTTGTAGCTAGTCAGGCTAGTCCAGACTAGACCCCGCGTAAGGCTGAATTTTCACTCTTACTCGAAACTACTGTACCTCGTACTTGTGTCCGTCAATCTGAACCTCGTATTCTTGATGCATGCATGCGACCGTTCAACCTGACGCAGTTCGAGGCGGTATCATCCACGCTCGATTGATTGATCTGAAAAGAAAGACGATACAATAGAATTGATGGTACCATACCTACATAGGTTGATAGCTAAGTCGACGAGACAAGGGCCCGTTGACCGCTTCCTTGGGGAGTCGATTTGAATCTCGAACTGCTTTTGCTTCCTTTATGCTGTAGGTGCTCGAAGCCTAATCCTACCTACGCTGGTAATTACCTACCTCGACTCGACTAGGAGACTCCACTCGACTCGGAACGCGCTGCTTGCTGTTTAGCTGTGTGTGGAGGAGGGAAAGGAAGTCAGTCCATGCTCAACCGCCGAACAGTACCAGTTTCACACATGGCACCAAAAGTACTGTTTACGCTAATTCAAATGACAAATATTACTTACTATGAAAGGAGATTTTCTGAGCTTGTAGGCACTCTTACCTATCTCTTAGCTATAAGTCAGATCTAATAGGCGGCCACCTAACCTATATTTCCAGTCTCGCTAGGCGCTATAGGCGTTGAGTATTGAGCTCCGATATCTCCGGGGGTCCTTGTAAGGGGCAACGAAAATAAAGTCTATCGTCTTTTGATCATCTCGTCATTCACTTACTAGCGTTAACAATACTTTTGGTGCGCGCCTCGGTACCCCTCCTCTGTTAGAAGCCTCGCTACTGCATTCGATAAATAGATACATGTAGATACTACAGGCTCGACTTGCCCAATTCTCGGAGTGACTGAGCCCCCTTGGACCCCCGCGACCGCTCCCAGACGCGTCGCGCATAGCCTCGCAAAGGTGTCCAGCACACACCCCCTCACCCCTTCTTGGTACAGGCCCACGATTGTAGCCGACTACTGTACTCGGTAGATTCCTATGTATTAGGCGACCAGGCAGGTTAATCAATAGACATGTGCTAGTCCGAGATCCAAAAGCCCCAGAAGTCCCAGAAACCCAATGCGAGTACATGTGCCTCCTACACTAGACTACGCTATACACATTGACAAGCTCCTCGGTTTCTTTTTTTGAGTATCTTTGGACTTTTCTGGCGATTGAGCAAAGAGTTCTCTGCGAATTCCCGATATGTACAAAGTTTGTCAAGTTACTGTTTGTACATTGTTGTATTTTTCTTCTTTCCGAGCACATGCTCCTATTTTATTCTTTGCTTCTCTTCCCCTCTCTTCGGGAATGAATTTTGTCTATTGGCATAGGATACACCGGCTTCACGGCCAACACCAACATTCTAAAATTTAAACACTTGGTCCTTGGTGTAGCCCAACTCCTTTAGTATGCCAGTCAGCTCGCCCTGGTCTTGCGGAGACACCTTCGCGCCACTGATCGCCTTGTACAGCCCCGGAGGTCCGCAAACAAAGATCTTGATATTCTGGCTCTTGGGGTCCGGGATGACCTCCTTCAGCAAGTCCTTGGTGATGAATCCTTTGCCATACGGCCAGCTCTCGGGCGGGTTGTCCAGGGTATAGAAGCACCGGAACCTCTGAGGGAACTCGTTCTCCAGCTGCGACAACTCCTGCTTCAACAGAATGTCTTCTTCCTTGATGTTGCCGAAGATGAGCGAGACTTTGGTCTTGTCCTCGGGGTTCTTGAAAATGGTGCGGATCAATTGATACATTGGCGTGATGCCCGTACCTCCGGCGATAAGTGTGATGTGTTCGTGCTTGTTTGGCGCCCAGGGGTATTTCGGGATGGGACCTTTGAAGGAAAGGGTTTCACCTGGTTTCATACTGAAGAGGTGTTCGGACATTGGTCCATTAGGATAGACCTTCACCAGGAGCTCGAGGTAGCCTTTCACGTCTGTGGGAGCGAGTGAGTCTGGTGAAGGTGGTTGGTGGGAGAGGGTCAAATACCTTCATCATTGATGGGTGTGTAGGGTCTAATGACAGGCTTTTCCTGATCGGCCGGCTTGAATTTTGTGATGATGGCAGC